GTGGATAAAGCCGCCATTTGGCACTGCACCATACTCGGGGACAGACCCTTTTCAAGGCCTCCTTGCAGGAAGTCCAACACACAGGACACAGGCGCAGTGACCGGGTCAAGGAGAGAGTCCTCACACCACCTGGCGAAGGTGGCCCAGGTGGAGTTGTAAATTCTCGTCGCAGAGGGACATCGAGCAGCTTGGATGGTGCGCACTACCTCCTCGGACAACCCCTCGTTCCTTAACAGGTTCCCCTCAAGTGCCAGGCGGCCAACTGGAGCCACTGGGGTCCCGGATGGACAGTGGCCCCCTGGCTGAGGGAGACCTGATCCGGGGGGATCCACCATGGAGGGGACACCGACAGACTGACCAGGTCGGTGAACCACGATCTCTGGGGCCAGTGGGGAGCCACGAGGATCACCTCCGCCCCCTCTGCTATGATCTTGGAGAGAACCTGTGGCAGGAGAGGGAGAGGGGAAAGGCATATAGGAGGCCCCGGAGCCAGTTGCAGCGCAAGGTGTCTGTTCCCTCTGCCCCTGGAGATGGGAACCGGGAGAAGAATCTCTCGAGTTGAGCTTTCTCCCTGGTGGCAAAGAGGTCTACTAATGGCAGACCGAACCTGCGGGACAGATGGTGGAACAGCGCAGGATTGAGTAGCCACTCCGCGGGGGTCTATGGTGGACCTGCTTAGCCAATTCGCTTGGGTGTTGTCCACTCCCAAGATGTGGTCAGAGCGGGTGGACTCCAGGTGACGCTCCGCCCAATGGCCCAGGGTCTCTGCCTCTGCCATCAGCTGCCCGGACCTGGTGCCACCCTGGCAGTTGATGTGCGCCTTGGTGGCCACATTGTCCATCATCAGAAGGACGTAACGATGGCGGACTGACTGATGGAAGTGACGAAGAGCCAATCTCGCAGCCCTCAGCTCCAGGAGATTGATGCTGCAGCGAGACTCTGTTGCAGACCACTTGCCCTGGACCATGAGGTGATCCATATGTGCTCCCCAGCCGGAGAGGCTTGGCGTCTGTGGTGATAATCACTCGGTCAGGCTCCTTGAAGAGATGACCCTTGGGGACTGCTGACGATAGCTACCATCGGAGGGATCTCTTCACTGCCGGGGGCACGCAAACCAGCATGGTCGAGTTGCTCCTGTTGGCTCTCTGGTAGGGCAGGAGAAGCCACTGCAGGGCCCTGGAATGGAGTCGGGCCCAGGGAATGATCGACAAGCATGAAATCATTTTCCCCAGCAACTGCGACAGGAGAACCACCGGGACCTGCCTTGCATGCATCAACTTGTGTGTCATGGACCTTAGGGCATCTGATGGAGGTTGTGTGGGCTTGGGTTTAACCCCAACCCCGGTAGCCTCCTTGACCTTATGCAAAATAGATTTAAAAAGGCTGGGCTTAAAGAGACCCGAGAAGGCCAGGGTGTTGGGTGGGAGGTCCTCATCCTCCGAAAGTTCCTAAACTTCCTGGTCTGGGTCCTCAATGATAGAGGTCTCACTGACCACAGAGGATTCAAGAGAGGAGTGGCACGCCCATTTTGGATGGGCTGAGAGGAAACGGGAGAAACGGCAGGAAGATCACGTTTCTGCATACCAGCCTCGATGCCCCTGGCAATGGCCCGGGCCACCACAGCTTGCATGCAAGGAAGTAATTCGGGCTCATGGTCCGAATCAAGGTTTTGGTCAGTGGGCTCCCCCTGAAGGGTGAGGGCACCCTCAGAAGGGCCAGGTCTTATGGGCTCCTCAGAGAAGGGTCCCTGATCATAGGACCAAGAAAGGGTTGGGGAGGAAGGAGCCAAGGATCTGTCAGGAGACAAGTCCTGGGACTCCACCTCTTCGGCTAACAAAGCTGCAGTATCCCCCTTTGGGAGGGAAAAAGCAGGGGATTCCCCAGGAGGAGAAGTCTGAGGGACATCCTTCGCTGCCAAGCGCCGTGCCCTCTTGAATTGTTTGTCAAGGGCTTCTGGCACCTTTCAGCGTCCTTAGCCTCAGCCACTGAAGGGGTCTTAGGGTTTTGCCCCTGCCTGACCACCCTACCCCTGCCTGACCCACTGTCCTTAGTAGGGGGAGAGGCCTTACTAGGAACCTGAGCAGGACCTGGCCTACCGGTTAAAGAACCTGATGTAGTAGGTTCCATGGTAAATGACCACACAGGCTGCTCTGTCAAGTGCAGGGAGATGGCAGGAGTACTGGATGCTCTGACTGGCTACACTGCAAACAAAGGAGGAGAGCGAGTCCATGAGACAATGGAATCCAAAAGGAAAAAAACATATATATTAAAAACACTCAATGTTGTACAGAAACAGTAAGAGAAACTCGAAGGGGAGCAGTGCCAGAAATGAGAGCAAAATGGAGGCAAGGGGCAAGACCCATCAGGATAGCAGGGAGGCCCAGGCCCAGTGAGGAAAAAATTAAGGCAAGGCCCAGGAACCTTCCCTGTGCTAGTGCGCAGGCCACGGGCGCCACTGGCACCGCCTGGTGTACATTGAGGATGGCAGAGGGTCAGTTGAGGGGCCCCCTGCTGGGCCCCCTGTCCATCCAGCAGGCTCCCGATGAGGCGCGGCCGAAGCAGTAGGCCTTTAGCTGAACAGGGCGTGAAAAGCCCTTACAAAATGGCCACCGCAACAGTGTGGGGAAGAAGGACAAGCGTGGCGCCCGTGCGGCTAACCACTGGCCTCACCCTCCTCCATGGCAGGCTAGAAGTTCAACTAGGGCCAAAAGCGAAAAAACTCCGTGAAAAACAACAAATGGGAAAGCGCAGAGGTCACTGCACGCCTTAAAAGCCTTGCCGCTGTTTGCCGCGCTTTTAAAAGACAAGCGGCAGGCCTCTGAAGCCGTCTGAATCAGCGCGGCAATGGAGAACCCTCCCCCACCAGCACGCCTACCTCCTGGCCTCAGAGGCTTGTAGATCTGCAATCCAACAACAGCAAAGGCAGAGAAAGGAATAAAAGGTAAAGAGGAAAGGTTTAACAGGGAAAAGAAATAGTTGGAGAGTCCAAGCCAAAGGAAAAAGACCAAATAGCTAGAGCTCACAAAAAAACAGTCTGAACAGGCTGACTGAGAATATTTTCTGGAGAAGTAGCCACGCCAGGAGGCGTGGCCAGGGAAAAGACTTCTCAGTCCAGGGCATTGCTTGGACTCTCCAACTATTTCTTTTCCCTGTTAAACCTTTCCTCTTTACCTTTTATTCCTTTCTCTGCCTTTGCTGTTGTTGGATTGCAGATCTACAAGCCTCTGAGGCCAGGAGGTA